AGAAAACCTCTTTCCTTTTGAAGGTTGAGTTGCATTTCATGTGGACCACGTGCAAAATCAGACGAAATTTAATAAGCTTAATTTAAATAGTCATATTCATCTTGAATGAGAGTATTTTTACTAACACTTGTAATTTTTGGAATTACCAACCAGTAGTTCGTTCTAAAGTACAAGAAAAATGAAATAACATAAACATTTAACGGCACAAAAGTCTATTTACCAGGGAAAACAGGCCTCGGCTGAACACTGTCACAACACGAACTCTCGCTACATATAAGAAACACTCAAGCAATCTTTACCTACCTTTTGGCTTGTTATCTCATCGAATGTACCTAAAATTTCTTTTCCATTTACATTTTGCAGTTAAAAAAAATAAAGAGTGGGTAATTAACTGGTGTGCGTTTGCAGAAGTCGACTAAAGTCACTCGCAACGTGTGCACTTCAATGGCTTCCAGCTAAGTTTGAATATGGCGCGACATGGCGCGCTAGCGCACTACAAACCTCGTGATTAAAAAGGTGTCTTCTGATTGGCTTTTACAATGCACGTGTAAAAGTTAACAATTAACAGAGAATTTTCTGGAAAATCCGTTCCCCTTTATAGGAAGGCCTTATACTCGGACTAATTAGACATTAGAGCGTCTGTCTTCGCTTACGAGAATCGCTTCTTCTAATTACATTTATTTTACTATATTCACTTTTAAAAATGTTCCTTTTCCCCTGAATTTCCCAGAATTTTTTTGGCTGGAAAATTTGGCAATATCAACATAGTACAAAACTGGAAAAGGGAAAACGGAAAACGGAAAACGGATCTTAAGCTGAAAGGCAACATTTGCAAGCCAGCCCGCGTAGCAGGCGCTTAGAAGCCTGTCAGGCAGGTTACTTGTTTGCTAATGTACACTTGGGAGCGAAAGTTACATTCGCTGGAGAGTAAATCGAGAGCAACTGGCCATGCGCGTTAAAACGACAATTGCTATAAAAACTTGAAGGCAAAAATAATTTCAAATAGAGGTTCATTGATTGATATATATATTTTAAGGATAGATTGGCAATAAACTTTAAATTTCTTCCTAAATCTCAATTACATACTAAAAGGAATCTTTGGGTTTTCTCGCGCGCGTTCTGCTCGGGAGACGCATAGAGATCTGGGTTCTGCCCGTAAGGTAAGTACGTGGTGCAACCATCATATAGTGGTTTCCCGTTAGTTAATATGTTAATATGCAATATGACTATTTGTAGCACTATCCTACACAGCCCTAAATTGCTCCACATAGCCCTAAATAGCCCGATCCATAGCCCTACATAGCCATACATAGCCTAATATAACCCTACATAGCCCTACACAGCCATACATAGCCCTACACAGCCATACATAGCCCTAAAAATCCCTTCATAGTCCTACATAGCCCTACATAGCCGTACATTGCCATACATAGCCCTACATAGCCATACATACCATACGACGTGAAACCACTATAGAGCTGTTTTCACTTGACTGTCGTAAAACCAAAACCAAAGAAAATACACTAGCCAACCAAAGGGCGTAGTAAAACCAAAACCAAAACCCAAACCAATCCCTTTCGATAGTCAAGAGAAAACCGCTCTATGATGGTTACATCACGTACTTACAGCCGGTAAAACGCAGACCGCTGGCTGGGCTCAGAAAAGCAAAGTAACAGCAAAATGGCGGCCACCTTGCGTCATTCTAGTTTGTTTACCTGGAGAAATTTACGATTTTTGGTATTTAGAGGAGTTGTTCAAAGTGTAAGGCAGCAACAGAATAGTTACAAATGCTACTCAGCATCCAGGAGGGAATTTGGGTCGTTGGCTGGTCTTAAGTGGTCGCGAGACTCGCGTTTGTTGCCTTCACAAAATAACTTCCTTCCTCCTCGAGGTAAGCTTAAGATAATGGGGTTATCAGTGCCTCGATTAAGTGATCTGTATATGGAAAAGTATGTTTAGCTTTCATTTAGTTGAGCGTCATCTTTGTTGTGGGCATTGCCATTGCTTACATGTCCGCAGAATAAGAAAAGAATGGTGTCAGAGACCATTAAGCCTATATATTTTCTTCGATTCACCTCTGAACCTCTGAACAACCATTCACCGAGATAAAACTAAAGAAAACAAGCCATCTGAATCTTTTGAGTCGTAAATGAAGCACTAAGGTAGCCCGCAAATCCAGCCATCCCTCTTCGCTTCAACACCGCAGAGGATGTTTTGCAGCTGGAGGGGCGTCTGTGATTCATGCCCCAAAACCCCATACCATAATTATACAAGTCAATGTTTGCATAATAGTGATCTTAAGATGCACCGTTTCAGCCTATGGGTACAGGTAAGCAAACATGTTTACCTCATAGTTTTTTAAAAGGCAACCATTTTCCCAGATGTGATAATGGTATAACCATTGTACCCTGTAGCCTACCCATTTCTCCTGGTTACGAGGCAATCTACCCGTAGTTGTGGCTACATGTATGGCTAATTTACCCATACCCAAACATGGAAATGGTCTGTCGTAAGGTCTCTAATATATCCAGGGTTCCAGGTGTAAATTTGCTTGAGTTTATGTTACACCTGGTCTACTTATATAAAAGTTGAGTGTTTTTGTGAACAAGCAACAGCAAAACTCAGATTTCAGCAAGAGCACCCATACGATACAGAAGACGTTAAAACAGTGCTGCTTTAGCGACTGATTAGCACTGCAACGAGCGCTGCAGGAAGGTTGCACGAACGCTGTTTTCCGTTCGCTGCAGCAGTGCATTTCTGTGACTGCGTTAACGCTGCGGTAGCGACACTGAGAGCTGCAGGAGCGCTGCCGTAAAGATGCAAAAAAATAGCCACACGAGGCCATACGGTCGATAAACAGCTTTTACGCAGCGCTGTGCAGCGTTAGTGAAGCGCTGCAAAGAACAGTTGTACAAAAAAAGAGAAATGCAGACTTCAACAATACAATAATCATAAGACATGGTAAAGGAGTTGACAAGAGGCCTTATAGTAGCGGAGTAAAAACCACAAGAAAGACAAAATGCAACTGATACTTTATTAGTATCCACGCGTACATGTTACAAAAGCAGGTGACATATAAAAAATCTACAACAGTCTCGCTTTGTAAATATTCAGCAATCACAGCCACTCATCTAAATGTAAGAACATCCATTAACATGCCGACATTGAAGTTTATCTTTTTTTTAAAATAAAGAGAATAAGAGCGATTGTTCTACATAAAGTTTGCACGGACAGCAGCCAAATGATGTTTTGATTCGTTGCAACAGGTTAAGCCTAACATCGCTCACCTTGACGTTTTGTCCATGATCCACAATCTGCCGTCACTGTTTTCATGAAAGAAATCAACCCAATTTTACTTTGGTCGTCGTTAAATTTTACAATGGACTATCGTGAATTTTTGAATCTTGTAAATAGATGCGTACCCCAGCTGAGATTCTTGTATCTGTGTTGCTTGCTCTGGTTCGATTCGTCGGTACTTCGCGTAGAATTCACTGAACAGTGCCGTTGTTTACAAATACCTTTGAGCTGTTCCATCCAAAAACATCAACAGAACTTCCACCTTGAAACAGAACTAGATGCTAAAAACTTACAATGTATGAATGATTGTGCCTTTCATTCAACGGTCGCAAATGTTTGTCTAGCGATGTAATGTGATCTGATGCAAAAGTGCTGACCAGGGTGCCGACCTATTAGATTACAGCCTAGAATGTCTCCAGGGAATTAGCGATAACATTCCCACACTCGCCAGTCATGGAATAAAATTTATTGAAATCTTTATTCCAAAAGCATAGAATTTGGAGGTTTATTCAATAAGTGATCTTCCCTGCGCACAAGCTTACTCACATTTCTTAGAGGTACAGTAAAAGTTTTCTCCTTATGAAAGCTGTAATCTGTGGCAAAAGGCTTTTCTGGCGATTTATGTTATGAGCGCTCAAGAACGTTGTGCTATCAGATCGAGCGTAGCTGAATTGTAGCATTACTGCAGCTATTGAAAGTCGGCAACTACGCTGCAAAACTGCTGCGAGAGCTTCAAAGGCTGCACCAGTGCTTTTGCAGCCCGCTGCAACTTGAATTAAGCTGTTGTTTGGCTTTTAAAATGCTGCTAAACAGCTGCAATTTAGCTGTACAGCTATTTTGAAGCGATTTTGAAGCGATTTTGTGGCGCCGTACAGCGCTGCAAGTTTCGTACTGGTTTACTCTCCAGGGTTTTAATTTTGAAGATCTTTAAGTTCTTATTTGGTATCTGCAGCGTTGTGCAGCGATAATGCTGCCTCAAGCGTTGCTCGTATTCAGGTTGTCATATGGAGTGGTTTCAATGTTTATATCTAAGTCTCATTGCAGCTTTTAAGCAGCAGCCCGCAGCGCTGCTTTACCGCTGCTTTACCGTGGCAAAATTTTGCAGCGCTTTCGCAGTGCACGAAATGTGACGTTCTCTGCTTTAGCGACTCACGAGCACTGCTTTACAGACGCTTAAGCGCTGTGCAACCATAAAAGTGAACTGCTGCAGCGCTGCGGCAGCGTTGCGTCATTCGTACGGGCAATAATATTTAATGTGTTGTGCAAAAGTCACTTTTTAAAGGTAACAACCCTTATTGAGATGGAAAATGAGTTCTTTGTGAAGCATGATTTGTTTGTATTGAAGCGTGTGCATAAGTTATTCATACAGGCAATTGCTATAAAAGGCTCAAAAAGCGTAAGTGGGTAACATCACCTGGTGGGAAGCAACTGACTCCTTTTTTGTTACATTTAATTTTGTAACATTCAATTTCAAGTGGCCCTGTATTCTTCAGTTGAGCCAGCTCATTAACAGCATCTCCTTTGAACAGACTTTTGTATGTTTAACTGTCACAGCAATTTTTTTTTTAATTTCAGCGAGAAAAAAGTATATCTCACTTTACCTACTTTTTTGGTACAGTTTTTATACAGAAAGTATTTTTTTCGGTATTACCCCATGTTTTTTGTTAAAATAAGATTGATTAAAAATATTGTTGTCGATATAGGAAGTGTGCGGACAATGTTCATTCAAGTTCAAGAAACTCCTAATCCAAACAGTTTGAAGTTTGTTCCTGGGGAGCAAGTGTTGGAGTCTGGTACAGTGAATTTTCCAAACTCACAGTCTGCATTTTGTTCCCCTTTGGCAAGGTAAGAAACCATTAAAGTTAATAAGCCAATGAATTCCAACAGCAGTGTTCTCCTTAAATCTCAGTTGGTAAGGGACTATTCATGGCTGGTAAGGCAAAAAATATGCTCCAGAGAACCACTTTCCTGGGGAGGGGGTAGTGGAGTGAGGGACATGGCCCCACCCTAGGGGGAGCTAAGCTCTTTGAAACGTCATTCCCTCATTTTAAGACCTAGTTTATGCAAATCGGCCATTGTTATCTTTAGACAACATTTTTAAACGTTTGATCCCAATAATTTTACTCTGTCTTCAATGCTGTCTTTCCAAAACGCATGGCCCATGCAAAGAAAAGCTGTGTATCGTAAAGTGCTTTTTCACATAATTTATTCATTCATTTCCTTGATCGCCTTGGATCACAAGTTGCATATTTTTTTAAAACTTCATATAATATTTAAAATATTATATGAAAACCTTCAAGCAGTGGCAGGTGATAAGAAGTGTTGCTTTACTGGTTACTGTCTGATAAGGAGAACACTGCAACAGGTAGAGTTTTCCTTTTTGAAAGTAGTGCAGTTAACTCTCTTTTAACTGCAGACACCTCTATAAGAGGTACACCGGTCCACAGTTTAGGCTTAGTCCATGTCTTTACTGTCTTAATTTGGCTCTCTGTAAGATGGACATTACTCTTAGCTTGACACTTGCAGTCAACTCTCAACATAGACACTACAGCAAAAATTACAGGCATATGACTGAAATAAACTCGCACTACAATGTACATGTAATGTGCGGTTCGAAAACAAATATCCATAACCCCCCATGGAAGACTCTTTGATTTGCCCTCCCTACCCCCGAGAATTTCTGTTCCAGGGGGTCTTTGATGACCCCCCCCCCAGGAATTCCCAAAATTTTTAAATGGGGACTTCTCACCACCCTTGGAAATTCAAAGTGATTTTGGTACTTTAAAAAAAGAAAGTGAATACTAACTCAGTTAAGAACATACAATAGAATTTTATTACAACAAAGTAAACTTTTGTTAAGCTCATTGTTCAGGTAAACTTTTAGCTTCTTAATCATGTCATTGTTGTTTTTATGTAAGCTTGTAAACTTAAACATTTTGAATTGCAAAGTTTGAAATGTCAGGGCTGTCACTAAGATTTCAAGTAGCTGGGTAAATACAACAAGTAGGCGGGGAATCAAACGGCTAGGGATTTCTTTTGGTTCTATTTTTCTTCTATTTTCCAATAAAAGTAGCCGGGGGCCACTCTCTTAGTAGCCAGGGAAAATCCCCGGGCCCCGGCTCTTAATGACAACCCTGAAATGTCGATTTTCTACGATTTTGCTCTTACTCTGATGCAAACGTTTTGAAGAGAACTTAAGTTTCACTCACATAAACAACTTTTCAAATGATAGCAAAAAGAGCAGAAACTTACAAGATTCCTTTTCTGGTTGTTTATTCATTTTTAAAATGTGGGCTTTTAGACATTCTTTTTCTCCCTGCCTTGGAAAGCCTGAAGACTCTAGTTTAAATATTGGAGTGGGTGTGGGTATTTCCTTGATCACAATATGAAGTTGGTAGTAAATTCAGCCCTCCAAAGTATTGCATGTAGTTTTTACAGCCTACATTTTTTATATTTTTCATAAACATTACATATTATTAACCTCACACCACAACAAGTACAATGTTATATAGCCTGCGAAAACATCCGTTTCTCCTCGCTCTTTACTGCTAGGGACGTTTCACCTGGAGGAACGTCTGCGACTCAGCAGCAGAAATTCCATACTGATGATGCAAATCAATGTTTACATAAGAAATCTGGTAGTCATGGGGTTCCAAATACAAATTTGTCCAATTTTACACGTCTTCTGGTTGATTTTGGTAAAGTGTTGTGTTCATCTGCCAACGAGCTCCAGCAAAACTCAAACGCTTCTTCTAGAGAAGAGTATATTCCACAAATATTGACTGTTTTGCTAGAGATTCTTCACGTTTTCACTTGACCTTTGTGGCCTTTGTCTTTTCTCTGTCATTCGTAAACAGTAGCTAAAACAATGTAACTACTCCGTCAACCAATAAGCGCTTCTGACCGGATTTTGGACAGATTTTACGTCATCAGTACGGAATTTCTGTGGCTGAGTCGCAGACGTTCCTCCTCGCGAAATGTCCCCAGTGATGAAGAGTGAGGAGAAACGGATATTTTCGCAGGCTAAATGTTATACAGTGCATACATTTTGTACGTTGAAAGATGTCTCTCTGGTAATTACATGTATATCAATATATAAAAATGGGTAATATAAATGTGGGATTCTGTACTCGCTCTTTTTTTTATTTATTTTATTTTTTTCATTTGTGCAAACTGCAAAAATTAAAGGTGTCTTCATTTTTTTTTCAGGAGTCTGTTCAGAATAACTGGTGTTCAAGGAGTAATGTTTGGGCCTGATTTCATCACGGTCACAAAGGTAAAGATTATGTCATTGGCCGTTTTTATGCTAGAGGCTAGAGACATTAAAGTCGTCTAGACATATTTAACATCTGAGACATTTAAGTCGACTGGTGTAAAAATGGGATGCGTAAAATTGAATAATTAGCCTGAATTTCATCCGATTGCTTCAAGTCGTTTTCTGTTCCCAGCGATGTGTGAATCGACCAGCTGTTAATGCCGTCCAGTGACGTTACTACTACCCGAAATTGATTGGTTGATTGTCTAAACGTTCGCATAATTATGTGTAATTATGAGAAATTTTAGCGGGATTGCCACTTGATAATCAGCGGATCACAGCCCTGGATCACATCGGTGGCATGCTTGCATGGAGTTCAAACATTTCAAAAATCTTTATCGTTAACAGCAAAATTTCCCTTTGTCTTTGAAACTGAATTGCTAAATTGAATTGCAAATGAAGAATCATTGTGGAGAGTTGGTAGGCTTTTCATTTAGTGTCACAGTGATTTTGTTTATGTGAAGTTTCTGAGACCAAAGTCATGTTGTCATTCAACCTTCTTGCTATTTTCACCATCAAGTGTAATGATTCTGTGGACTCTTCCCAGTTATCTTTAAACAAGTTGGGCGTACAGCATTTAATGCATCCCAATTCCACAATGTCCCATTTTAATCGTAATATTGCATATAAGACGGAATCCATTAGGAAATTGAGTAATTTTTATTTTCAGTGGACAAAAGCCTTGTACTACCCAAAATTATGATTTCAAGTATATTGCATTCTTTTTTTACACTTTTCTAGACTAGGGCTATAAATGTAATAAGTTATGTGAAATAACTCCAAAGAAAAGGATTTCATTGGAGCCTGAGAAAACAAACTTCAAGTGCTTCAAGTTCTTACGCATGATGATTTTCCCTGTGTTTTCTCAATTCCTGTGAAATTTGAAAGTTATTTTCTGGGGCTCCCATTAGAAGTTGTCTTTGGTGTTATTACAGAAAACTAATCACATTTATGGCCCTTGAAAAGTGCAAAAAAGAATGCAATATGGCTTAAAATATTCTGGTACAAGGTTTTTGTCCACTGAAGATTAAAATTTCTTTATTTTCGGATGGCCTCCATCTTAACGTCGAAGATGTTAAAGTCAGCTGTCAAGTGTCTGAATGATGCACTCAATAGAAGACATGAATGTTACCCTGGATATTAAATGCATCTGTGTTATTTATTGTTTTATACTAGAGGTATAGAGCCCACATACTCACGTTTTACGCTCTTTTCATGCACTTGCATGATTGCATTAGGGATAGCTTACAGTTGAAGTTAATTGAGCACTAGACCGCAAAGTGGGAGGAGATTGCCTAGTTTCAAACCGAGAGGGGCTGGGTACAAATCAGGTTATTGTGGTATAAACAGCACAAGACCCACATAATCGGAAAGAGGACATTGAGGTTACGAAAAATCTGAAGTATGGTGTTAATAGAGCCAATATTGAACAAGGTACAGCTTTTTAAAAACTTGAATATTTATACATGTAAGAGATTGGATTGCCAGACACACCATCCGGCCTTAGTAAATTTTGGAGTTTTTGAATGGCTGTATCTCGTTCAACATAATTAAATATAATTATGATGATTCGGAGGTAGCACATCCACTAAGTGGTTCTTCGTCTACCTGATTCCTGGTCGAATTGGAATTTAGAAATATTGGTTTTTGAGGAGAGGGGAAAACCGGAGCACCCGGAGAAAAACCTCTCGGAGCAAAGGAGAGAACCAACAACAAACTCAACCCACATATGGTGTAGCTGCCGGGATTTGAACCCGGGCCACATTGGTGGGAGGTGAGCACTCTCACCACTGCACCATCCCTTGCTCCCTATAGACCCAATAAACACTAAACTTGAGAATGTTGCTTATTTCAGTGTGCTATTTCTTACTACATGGGTCTCGTGTTGTTTATCCCATAATGATTAATTGAAATAATTAACTAACTGAACTTGCTCTAAACTTAACTGCAGACTGAAGATGATGTGGAATGGTCAGTATTAAAACCAGAAATATTTGCCTCCATAATGGATTTCTTTGCCAGTAATGTTCCTATCCTCACAGAAGAACAGCCTCCAAGTGACACAGGTGTGTGTCTACACAGTATTTAAGATAGTATACAGCTTTCTCTTGTATACAGTCAAACCTCCATGACCCGGTTCCTTGAAAGATGGTTAAGTTTGACCCAAGATTAAGCCAAATTTCAAGCACGGTTTTCTTGTCTAACAACATGCTACTCAAGGTTACAAAATACTGTTGAGCCTTTACTACGAGATGCAGTAATGATAACACAAAATGTTACCCTAACCAGTGCATAGGAACGTAAAAAACAAAAACGCAACAAAATGTTAATCCTGGATTAACACTAATCAGCCTTTCAGGAACCGGGCCCAGGTGACACCGTGTGACCTCCTGTCGTAACTACCTTCAATAAGCGACCACTTAACTAAAACACCAAAATTTTCTTGGTGAAAGTCTTATAGTGGAAACCTGCTCTTATAAGCAAACACGACCACTTTTTAGGATGACAGTTTAAGAATTTCCCATTGTTCTTAACCTCTTCTAAGCAACCATCTGTATGGAAAACGATACTCACAGGTATTGTACCCCCCAAAACATCAAATAAATAATAAATAATTATTATTTATTCCTTTGCTAATTATAATAATGTGTCAATCATATCAATTTTACAGCTATCGACCCTGAAGATGATGAAACAGTTGCAATGATTAAAGAGTTGCTGGAAACAAGAATAAGGTATTTATTTCAATTAACGGCCTGTTTTTTTTTTGGTGGCCTGATTACTTACAGGGCTCAAAATAAAGTCCAGTCAATGTCTGGCCAAGATGACCATTTGTCACATCATAACGTTTTAAGAGGACAAGCATCTCTTTTTATCGTTATGTTTCTGTCTGGTATGTTAGTACGTTCCAGCTATTGTCATGTTATTTCTAACATTCTGATCAGTCAGAAGAAAGAGATCACCCAGCTAAAATTTCAGTGGCCGGCAATTTTCCCAGTTTTGGTAGGCTCTGTCTCCAGCCTTGAGTGTCTTGATGCGCCTGCGGTACTGGTAATTACCATGCATTGAGAAACCCAAGGCTGGTGACTGAGCGTACGTTCTTGGCTGCATGAAATAATAATTTTACTTCCCCTTGAACTTGGCAGACCTACAGTGCAAGAAGATGGTGGTGATATCATTTTTAAGGTTTGTGCTGATATTATTGCAGATTATTTTCTTAACCCTTTAAGCCCAAATATCCACATACAAATTCTCCAGACTGATCTGCATACATTTTCTTAAAGAATAAGTTGAGAGAATTTGATAAGAGATCAAAGATTTTTCTCTTTGTGATCATTTTATTAATTCTCATAGACTTTGCCCTTGACAATCTATGGATTCTGTTAGGAGAAAATTGATGTTGGTCACCATTGGGACGTAAATGTTTAATTCCACATAAATGTACATATATACTGCTGATCAATTGTCTACAAATGTATTTTCATAGTGTAATAATTATTATGCCTTTTCTTAATTGAAACTCTCATTTCTCACCTTATACCAATTTATGCTGGTTCAAAACCATAGCTCCCCACCGAAGCAAAAGCCCCACTAGTCATAATTATAGTATACAGGTCTATTAGCTTGCAGCGCAGGCATACTTTTGGGCGGGCGGAGGTTGCTTATTTATGTTGGTATCATTGGAGTCGCCGTCTTTGATTTTGTGACAGAGGAGGACTGAGCGTTTCTCAACCCTTATGGTTAAAAGGCTTTGATGACTTTAATACCGGTATGATATATCCCTAGGCTTCCTTGAACTCTCCCTTTTGTCAAATCTGAATGACAACTATATGTGCTAAACTTAGTTCCTTGGACGTGAAGGCTATAAGGGTGGTTTAAGTTCAGTCAGAAGGAGAAAACGAGTGGATTAGGGTAGCCGAGTAGATTATGTTTCATTATTTAACTTTTTTTGTAATCATTCTACAGGGATTCCATGATGGTGTCGTAAAGTTGAAATTACAGGTCGGTATTTTCACACGGTAATTTTAATTTAGTGACTACGCGGTTGTAGTTTCTGAATCTGTGGGCGGTTTGTGTAAATGGTTAGCACCCCATGATTCATTTCATATGTTGCCCGCTTGCGGATTCGGTCATGTGATTAGTCTGAAATGTGAGTCATCTCCACCCCCTAACCTGTCGGGAGCGCCCCCATGGGTAAAGGGGTGGAGACGGCTAACATTTCAGACTATCATATGATGGAACTACATATTCAACCCTATCTCTTATACAGAAGGAGGGAGGAGCTTTTTAGTAGCTGTTTGTCAACTCATTACTGACACATTTCTTGCAGGGAGCGTGCTCCAGCTGCCCAAGTTCTATCGTAACTTTAAAGAGTGGAATAGAAAACATGATGCAGTTCTATATCCCTGAAGTGGTCTCCGTGGAACAGGTACTTTTAAACAGGTCAAACTTTGATGCGAATGGGCGGGGCATTAAGCCTTAGGCAACTATATTGCCCGGCTGAACTTCGTTTACTGCAGTGAACACTGTCAAATGAGTCATAATTAATGGAGAGCTTTAGATTCGAGGACGACTACGAGTACTAGATTTTCTCAGTACTACCTATAAGTAGTGCACACGCGTGAGCCAGCGTCATTTTGGCGGGAAAACGTGATAGCCGTCGTCATTCTACTACGAATTTAAGGGGAAAACAAGTTATCAAATGTTAGGAATTTTATCATTTAGCGATCGGGAGAGGGCTTAACCTCCTTCACTATAAGTAACCGCACTAACTTTTTTGGTGAAAAACGCGGTAAAATGAAGCTTTCCGGGGTGTCTTTTGTTTTAGAACACGCACAAAACTTTAACTTAAATCTCGTACTCGTACCCGTTCTTGTCCGCGAATATAGAGCTCTCTATTATAACACAAACTAACTGTTGGAAAACCTATCCACCCGTGAGGCAGAAGCCCTTTAATTCTCCTAAACCAATGTCTGAGGTAGACGTCGTTGAAATAACCCACCGTAAAGGACCAGTTAACGCAATTGTGTAGAGTTGGCCGAAATATTAAACCACTCTACTAGCTTTGGTCCTGTTTAAGATCTTGTTTTCTAGTGTACGACGCGTCTTGCTACTTGAGCTTTTCCGCTTTCTTGTCCATGAGAGTGAATGATTTTGTTGCTGATTTTGTTTTAGGTTGAAGATGAAGTGGACGAAATAAATAAGACAGAATTTGATAAACTGGAAGCCAAACTCGGCGAAAAAGACGAACCATAGATGACAAAAGCTGAATTATGGCTACTTGAAAGGTCGCGTTCACACGGGTAGCTTGCGTCGCAGACACTCTAAAGCTTCTGTATTGAGCTATACAAATAGTCTAGACGATGCGTGGGCGAGTCACACCGGATACTTGAGGGTGTATTTTATCTTCATAAAATTAATTTATTTTAGAAGACCCTGAAAAAATTAATGATTCTTGTCTCCTTCAAATTGTTTATTTCCGCACAAAAAGAGTTGTAAATATAAAATATAAATTGAACAAATATTTGAAAAGTGTGGAGGTTTGCGAACAAAAACTCAAGCAAAACTATAAACTGGAAACTAGCTGTCTTGTGTAACAGAGAATACAAGGTGAGAGTTACCACCTCTCAAACACGGTCAATAATACAATTATGAAATAAGAACCGAAAGCAAAGTCCACACGCTAATGCGTTTTTGTAAACCAGACCTCCAGATGAGGCGGCTCGCACTTCTTGTTACAAGTCCTAGTATTGGCTGAGAAAACAATAAGCTGATTTAGCAACAGAACGGGAACTTCAGCTGACGACGGCGCGCGCAAATCAAACAACTGGCTTGACCAATCGCAGAGCGGCAAATTGGGCACCGGAAGTAGCGTTTAGTCCTTTCCGCGCGCTTTCCCGTTGTCAACTGACGTTCCCGTCCTGTTGCTAAATCAGCCTAATAAAGCAAACAATGAGCCCTAACCCTGAAACAATAGCAGTGAAAGCTATGGAGAGACAGTAAAATAAGAGGTTACCTGGAGGTGCGTGGCTATTGCGAGGGAGGTCCGGGTAAGTGTTACGAAAAACGTTTGAAAGTTCCACCTCCACTAGCCTAGGAACGTCTTCGTTGAAGGCTATAAGTCTACATCAACGTTTTCGCATCGTTTTCGACCGCCCATAGTTTTTAACGCACACCGAGAGATACGTTTTGGTTTCCGGGCCATTCTCAGAGGTGTTCACGATACGCTCGTCCATTCCCGCCATTTTAAATCTTAACCGCTGTTGTCTGTTGTTCAGGCGTAGATGCAAAATGTAAAAAGGGATAAAAAATAGCTGCGTTTGTTAGACTTTACCCTGAGTACCAGTGGTTTCTCTCGCGTGCGGCTATTGAATGCAGCGGAGATGCTTCGGGGTCGTCCACAGGCCGACACGTCTTCGGCCTTTAGTCCGAAGCCACGGAAACTACACATGAATAGTCTCTGGCACTCAGGATAATTACTCACAAGTTTGAGGAATAAATTTTTTTATGAGAAAGAAAAGTAATCTGTAGTATTTTATAATTTATTTGTTTTATAATTTACAATACTTTTAAAATAAAATACTTAATGCTAAAACTCGCAATAATTACACCTAATTGCAAAAACGTTGTCATAGAAAAAAGCAAAAAGACAAATAGGAATAAATTAGCCATGTGATTTACATTTGCGTATTTTAATTCAGTATTTAACAATTATTTAGGAATTCATTCACAATAACAAGAGATAATTCTGCAATTCCGCGCTGTAAAATAGACAGGCGCCATAGTCATTTTAGAGCCAACATTCTCCATCAACAGAAGTCGCACAATTCGAAAAAGAAAAATGTAAATTGACGCGAGCAATATTAAGTCTCAGTTGTCGCACTTTCAGTCGCCAATCTATTATGTCCTGACAAAAGAAGCTTGGTTTGTGGCTCAGGTGAGGAACTGGCGGAGGACCCCTCACCCTCTCCGGGATGAAAAGTCGTGCCTACGCCCCTGATTTGTTGTTTGAAAATTGTGATCAGATGGTGTTGTGCACTGCAAACTATACGCACACAGGGTTCGCACAGGTCATAGAAAAGCTAGAAAGTCATGGAATTTAGGAATTTCATTTACAAGGCCTGGAAAGCCATGGAATTTAATTGTTGGTCCTTGAAAGCCATGGCAAATTGAAGTTGTGTTTCGTAGATTAGTTATTGCAGATGACAAAGCAAGGATAATGAAGATGCGTGAACGGCGCGCATTTTGGTGGATACCAGAGTTGGTGTTTTGTTGAACTGTCTAAGGAAAAAAATATGCTAAAACACGTAAAGTTTTGAAAATGTTTGAACTGAAATGAAAGCCAAACCTAAGGTCATGGAAAACTAGGAAAGGTCATGGAAAAAATCATGGAAAGTCATGGAATTTGAAGAACTCAAAAGAGTGAGAACCCTGCACCAAGCCACCTTTGTCTATCTGATTCCTGGTCCAATTGGAATAGCCCAGGGGGGGTGATGAACTCGTCAATCGCTCCTATAGGGATCGCGCGGCGGATGATCTTGGCCATCGTGACGTCACGAGAAATTTATCTCGGGAACTTTGAATGGATTCAGCGAGCGAAATTGTTTCGTGGTTTCAAGAGGTAAAAGTCGAGACGTTGCGACGAAACGACCGAAGGTATGTGTTTATCTATTAATGCTATATAGTAAAATTGCAATATATTCTAGGAAAGAGCATTTCCATCGTAAAAAATCAAGAACTTCCCGAGATCGACCAGATGGTACAACTCATACCGGCGCGTCTTTAGAGACGCATAACTAAAGAAAGCCAGGTCAGAAACAGAATTTAGTCTCGAGAAAAACAAATGACGTTAATATGGTATGGGTCTCTCAATTAGTGATAGAAGGATATAAGAGTCATGTTTTTAATAAGTTAGCAAAAATGATCAGTGGGATAAAAATCCGTCGCAAACCTCAGGGATGTTTACAAAAAAATGAGGTGGGGGGGAAAACTTGCGAAAGTGGCGTGGACAGGTCAAAGTTCAAGAAACATAGCGTCATGATGTTCATACTACACTATCAAATTGATGTAAACAATTCATTAAAACTAAACAAATGTAAGAAGTTTTATCAAGCTGATGTGTTTTTTATAGAATATGGGCTATAATCTCTTTAAAATTTGTTGTTGTACTGCCTCTGAAAGCCATGGCAAATTGATAGGTTGTTGAAGTTACAAAAAATTTATAATTCAAGGGAGACATAAATTGATTTAAGAGATGCTTAACAAATAATTAGGGAGTTGTGAGAAAAAACAAGCAGTTCGTAGATTAGTTATTGCAGATGACAAAGCAAGGATAATGAAGATGCGTGAACGGCGCGCATTTTGGTGGATACCAGAGTTGGTGTTTTGTTGAACTGTCTAAGGAAAAAAATATGCTAAAACACGTAAAGTTTTGAAAATTTGAACTCTAGCCCCATACAGAAATTTTTGTTTTAACCTTTCTTCTTTTCTTTTCAACTCTTTCTCTTCTCTTTCAATTTCCTTTCTCCTCAGCTCAATCTCAAGAATAAAAAATATGGTGAGATTCAAAAGCATTTTTTTAGGGAATGGGGCCCCCTGATCAAAATTAAACTACCCATTTTCCATTAGTGGAATCAAAGGAAAATCTGAAATGAAAGCCAAACCTAAGGTCATGGAAAACTAGGAAAGGTCATGGAAAAAATCATGGAAAGTCATGGAATTTGAAGAACTCAAAAGAGTGAGAACCCTGCACCAAGCCACCTTTGTCTATCTGATTCCTGGTCCAATTGGAATAGCCCATTTTCGAGTTCGCTAAGACCGCTGAATTGAAGAAGTGAAGACGTATTTTTTACAGCCTTGACTTACATCTGAAGTAATATATTCACAAATTCCATCGAGAAAAAGACATGTTTATTATATTACTCTGTCTATTGTGTATATTCAAATTTCAAACACTTACTGTACTTGCCAGAATTTCTGAATATTTTACTTTACGTCGAGGCTAACCCCTTATGAATGTGTCGTTAACGTTTGTATTCAGCGGTGATTTTTAATTCAAAACTGGACTATTCGCCTTTGCACACCTCCAATAATACACCTTGTTTGCCCCCCAAAATTTTGCATAAGCATTGTCATCAATTTCTCTTGGGACGACTGTAATCCCCAAGAGAAATTAAAAACAAAGGATGTGCAAAATTTGGGGGGGAAGCAAACAAAGTGTATTGTGGGAGATGTGAAAATGGCAAATTGGGAAACCGGAGTCCCTGGATGAAACCCTCTGGCAGCAAAGGAGAAAACTAACAGCAAACTCCCACATATAGCTTCGACATCAAAATTTGAATCCGGGCCAAATAGGCGGGCGGCGAGGGCTCTTACCACCTAGAAGCCTGTTCCAGGCTCAAAGATATTAGGAAAAGCGGAACGAGGGGAAAAAGTCGCGCGAAAACCGCGTTTGGGCTGGGGAGTTGCTGGGAAGTGGTCCTGACTGAGAGCCTAGCAAAGGCTAGCCTCCTGGTGACACAAAAAGGGCTCGGCGAAAGGAGAGGGCGGCAACATTACTGTGTGGTTCTTGGAGAGCGTGAACGAGTAGTCTCAAGGTTTAAGTAGAAACTAACTAGCATACTTGCTTCCAAAAGGTAGGTTGAGTTTGATCGTTTGGGTGAACGTAGTCCTGAATAGGACTGTTGTTGTTGACAGTGGCAATACTTACTTCCATTACGCACAAATGTGTACAAACACTAAACTTTTGTTTTCACAACCTTGAATTCGCGCAAACGTCGTAAGTATGTAAACAACTGAATTTGTACTTCTTTGTTCATTCCTTACCTTATATATTTTTACTCCTCTCTCTGAACATCGTAAAAGCGATTTGTTGAAGAAGTGGGTGTTTATAGTTGCGGAAACTGTATTGGTTCGTTGTTGTTTTGCGATGAGGGTGTTGAAGAAGTTACCATAAGATTGCCTTGTTTTTTCTTAACGCTGACGTGGTACTCAACCTAGCCTGTTCCAGGCCCCCAATTCCTCCCGTTTTATTTTCGTGTTCTCGCTTTCTCAATTTCGCGGACCTGACTATCTCGGAGCCTGGAACAGGTCACTCAATATCCATCACGCAGAGTACCTTAGCCAATCAGATTGCAGAATTCTTGATAGTATGTTAGCTTAGTTGGTTACCATAAAATGAGGTGTGGAAGGGTGCAAAGGTCGCAGACCACAGGGGAAGACAACGATTCATTCACGTGCATGAGACGTAGTAACAACACCACGTCGAGCCCAGGAGATTGAAATGGGGGGGGGTCACTTTCCACGGAGGTAGACAGCAGTACATCCTCATACATTGAATTAGTGAACCCACTCGATTGCCCAAGGGCTGGGTGGGTGAGCCGCTGGTGGTACTCTTGGGATGACGTGTTATTTGGCAAAAGCGCACAATTCATGGAGTTCGGTAATATATACAACGCTTATATTTGTAGTATATCTATTGTTATGGAAATATTCTTATCAATATCATGAAAAATGCTATTGATCGTGTATGTGTGTTCGTTTTGCGTTTTCTCCCCATAATAATTACTTTTTTAATTGATCGCGAGTTTTCGACCGCGCGTGGTTGTGGTCTTCATCAGGCGAAATTGTCGATTTGCAGTGCGGAACAATTATTCTCTTCCCCTTTTCTCGTGATTGGTTGATTTCGTTTATACTGGAGCGTGAATTTGAAATCGCGCCAAAACTACAGCCACCAAATAAACGCTTATGCGATCTGACTTGAAAAAGCCGAGAAACAGGACGTTTTCTGCTCCCTAGCCTATCGAGTCTTTCGGTCAGAGGTGAATTTTATTCGTTTCACTGTTACTAAGAAACCTGAGTGCAGGTAATACCATGCATTTGAGGTATTTTGCTTATTTGGGTATGTTTACCGAGCCGTGTCACCTTTGACGTTTTTGAAAGTAACCGTCAACCAGAGCTATTAATTAGTATAATTCAATAATTAGGACACTTAATGCATATGGAAAATAACGTGCTCGTAGTGGGCGTTAGCAAGTGCAACTAGTGTTAAACTGTTAGTGAAATGCGGTGTATTCCATGCTACGCGTTCCTAAGGTGGCAGTTATGGAGAGGTTTAACTGTTAGTGTGTACATTCAGCTGTACATTCGAAGTGCTCATTTGATTTTCCTGTGTTTACCGAACCGTTTTATATTCGACGATTTTGAAAGTTAGCCGTGGACACGATACGAGAGCCAATATAAGCAAGCAGAGTCCTCCTCGTAGTCTGATCGAACAACAAGAAGAGGTTGCGTGCGAGTAATATTATGCATTCGAGATGTATTTTCTGTGTTTACCGAACTGTTGTATATTGACGGTTCGATAGGTATCACTGAATGCCCAATCAGAGCTCATATAATTAGTATGCTTCGCTGAATAGTTATGATATTTTATGCTTAGGCGTATGCAAAATTGGCCCATTTCAAGAGCTGAAGGTGTCTTGATAACAGCTACAAAATACGTGAAGTTTAGAGTTCTCAATCTAGGAGTGAAATGTTCAGAGCCGTTTTCTTTGCTGCCTTCCTACTTGCAGGCGTTTTTGCATTTCGTCTTAAAGACCTGCCAGGTTTGCAATGTTTTGTTTTTAATTTTCGTAACAAATTCTCTTCAATTAGTATAGTGAAAAATCCATTATGGTTCAGACCATGCCTATTTCCATTTTATATGTCAGTCTACCTTTTAAACAAAAAATACCAGTAGAGAATGTTAAAATACTCTTGGAGAGCTTTCCAGCATTGAGGAACACCATGTAAGCTACTAGCTTAATTCCTTGGCTTCGCACACACTCGGCCAAACGTGCACCATTTATCCCGCCTAATTTTAACGGTCTGCAACGATAATTATATTTGCCTCGATCAATAACAGCTTTGTTTAAGCCAACTTAGGTCGTTGGAAGTTGTTCAACCATGTTGACGTGTTTAAATGTTTAAGGAAGAAAAACGATCATTGGAAGTACGTTTAAAACTTTTAAGCGATGAAAAAACTCTTAACGTTTTTTGATAGGATTATGTAACTTCAACGCAATTTATTCTTCTTAGTTTGTTCTTCGAAAATTTAGACTCCTGTGTGGTTGAAACCGTTGAACCGCAGAAATACGACCGTTGGAACTAAGATTAATTATGAATTAACTGTTGGATTAAGTTCTTAAGCGATGTTGAAGTATAAGTTTGAAAAATATATATTATTGGAGGCACGTATAAAAAAAATAAGATTTTTAACTTTAAGAGTGACCTTCACTGAACATGAATTCATATTTATTCTTCCTTTGTTCTCGAAAATTTTGGCTCTCAGGCAGTTGCAGCCGTTTGAACCACCGTAAATGACCTTGAAAAAATGTTTGTCTACAGGCTCTCACTCTTTCCCTTCTCTCTCCTCTCGATTTTTTCACCCTTTCCCCAAACAGAAACATCCTCGCATACCCAGGGGCAGATAGTGGGGGCAAGGGAAAGTCTAAACGGGCGTGTTTTTTTTCCCGCCCTTTAGACTTTCCCTTGTCCCCACTATCGCCCCTTGGGCAACTCGGAAACGGCCTAATTTTGGCGGGTGCTTGCGGTCATGTATAGGTGTTCTTCCCAGGACAGATTAATAGCATGTGTTTTCTTTTGGTGCGGTTTTCTTTTTAACGAATTCCCTTAAAAAAGTTGGCGAAGATCAATGATGCCCTCTCAGACCTAACAGAAAAAAAAGAAAGAAAACTACAAGACATTTGTTTTAATTTTTTGGCTCCTTTTACACAATTTTTTAATATGGCATACGTAGAGTGGCGAGAAGAAGATGAGGGCAGACGAGAAATGCCACAGGAACGAGGATTTATCCCGGAATATGAAGGTAAACAGAATACCCGGTTAATTTTAGACTTTGAAGAACTTTCCACAAAATTGCAAAAAAATATATCAGCTTTTATATGCAGTTTTCTCGATCGGTTCGAACTCTTTATCGGAACTTGCTAATTATGCACAGTTTCAGAAGGTGGTATATTACTTCAATTATATTATCATGTAATATTTGAATGAAGAATTAAAAAATTATCACTGATATTTTATCATTATTATTATGAAATGTTTTTAATTCGAATAACTTTTTTAATGAAATGAATTTTTCTAATCAAAATAAAGTGTTTTTCGTCGAAGGGAGTTGTTGTAAATAGTGTTTTGACTGAATAGTTTTTTTAAGCGAATTAATTGTAATAGGATTTTAATAGTTAGCTTTGTTATCAATAAAATTATTATTATAAAAAATATTTATTATTATTATTATTATTACTATTTAATTTTTATATTCCCTTCTTACTTTCTGTAGAAGAAGTTGATGAAGAAGACGAAGGAAGACCAGAAATGCCGCTGGAAAGTGAATCATTCCCGGAATATGAAGGTAAGCAAAGGAAATAAATTAAAAAGCAGCCGGTAAGTAAACTTTTGAACTTCCTTTATTTGCCAAAATTATGGTGCTTTCGCGATAAGTGTGGATTCTGTCATCGGCAATGGCAAGTTATGCAGCTGTAGGAGCCTTCACCAGTCCCAGTTCAGCCATCTTTGCTTTTAGACTGAGTTGCGGGTATATTTGTACATTTCATCTTGTTTTTTTTTGAGTGTCGATTCCCGGATTCTCCAGTCAAGACTAAGGGCGCCTTCCATTTGTCAGAACTGACTGGACAGGACATTTCCTTCGTAGTGAGAATTCTATTTTAAATCAAAGCTATTCAGCCAGATCAATCAAATCCTAAATAGTACGCACGAAGGAAATCGTTTTTCATCAACAACTCTTCGAAAAAGCCGAAAGATAAAGGACTCATTAAATTGAAATGGCCTTGAGTCGGCAAGATGAAGTGAATCCTCTGTTCTGATTGGCTATATCCCATTAGGCTAGGATTTCCCAATTCGGTCCCACAAGAAAAAAGCTCCCTTGACCGTATAATAAATCATTTATCCGCGCGCTACCAAACTTGTTTGGTCAATCAGTAACGCATAAAATTCATCTTATCATAACATAACATTTAAAGTGAATAATAAAAAAGTTATTGTTATTGAGAGTTAATTGTTGCTATCGTAATATTAAAGACCTTTACAGTCGAAGACTTTCAAGATTTTTCGCTTATTGTCAAGAAATATACACCCCCGAAAGTTTCATCGTCCTTTTTTTTATCATAAACGTTAGCACGGTTATTTTAATTGAAGGATGTTAAGCCCTCTCCCGATCGCAAAAATGATAAAATTTCTAACGTTTTATTAGCTGTTTTAGTCACTATTACATTCTTGCCAAAACTCGTAGTATAATGACCACAGCTGTATAGCGTTTTCCCGCCAAAATAACACTGGTTCACGCGCGCGCACGACTCAGTATTGAGAAAACCTCGTCCCCGTGTTTCCTGGTGCTAGAATCTATAGCTCTTTACTACTCGTACCCAGGTCTCTTGTCGACGAAGAGATCTGGGTACGAGATTAAATATTCCTTTCCCTGAACTTCTAAAACTGTATTTTAAAAGTTTTGCATATCCCTGAATAGATCAGAGAGAAGAAGATGAAGGCAGACCAGAAATGTTGTTGGAACGAGGATTAGTCCCGGAGTATGACGGTGAGCAAAGGAAATTAAAATAAACCAGCTGTTTTTAGACCATAAAAGTCAAGAATAATGAGTTGTTTCTCACTCTTTTCCCAGTTACTGAGCACTGCCAAAGTAAGATGCACTCTTAATGACAAATAACTAGTTCTTGAATGTTATTTAATGTTTAGGCTGCGTTTGCACGGCACCGTACGAATTTTCGACCGGCTGCAAAATTGTGCTGGACACTTTGTTTACACAAACTCATGAAGAACTAGTCAGAGATTTAATCTGCCCATTAGCAAATCCAAAATCGCGTCTCCAAGCTGAGTTACGGCGCCTCCATGCAACTACGCCTTTTTGGTACAAAAATATAGACAGTTATTACGGTGTTCAGACCAGACCGGTAAACATTTTCCATTGTTACAGCTAAACGTTTGTACTCGATTTTGGCGCCGTTCATATTTTCGTGCGGTTAAGGTGCCGGTTTTTCCGTGTGAACAGAATACCAAGACCCCCGAGTTTTCAACCAGTCGAAAATTCGTCCGGTAGCTTCCGGTGCCTATGAACGTGACCTCATTACTTTTCATGCATAATAACGAGCGTAAGTTGTTCATGCAAGATAGTCAGTTTTTAATGTGCCGATGGACTTTCATCAAACTCCTGAACCAACGAAACGCTGGCTCTTCTTCTTCTCTAAGGAAAACGGTGTTAGAGTTTCTACTAAAGAACATTCTTGAACTGCTTAAGCCGCATACGCAAAACTCTTGTTTGTTAATTGTAAACATATTGATATTCGAGGTAGCCTCTCCCAAGAGCCGGGTGGTTTCTTGAGGTCTCCTCCCTAGAGAAGAATCTGAGGCACATAAATGATGATGATGATGATGATGATGATGATGATGATGATGATAATGATGATGATGATGATGATATAATGATGATGATGATGATGATGATGATGATGATGATGATTATAATGATGATGATGATGATGATGATGATGATGATGATGATGTTGATCTCAAATGACTTGTCTGACCATAATAGTCATCTTATCGCGTGACATACCTTGTATATCTACTCTTATGCCCCCTAATGCCCTGGTAATGCCACATACTGTTTAATGAAATGATATGTTTTTCCTTCCTCCTCCCTTGGATCTCTCAACCCTCTTTTTCCCTGCCTTCTTTTTCAGATGACCCAGAGGTCTATAGAGATACTGCTTGGTTACTGGACAGAATACTTATGGACGGAGGTCAGTTGCCAGTCTTGCGGCTCATTAGTGCCTTAAGGCTTTATAGAGCTTCGTTTTAATTAGACTGTTCACAGACGTTCTAATTTCTCAGCTCAACGTAAACTGTAAGGAACGGTGAAAAATAGCGGAATAGGCCATTTGCACTATGACGTCATTTTACTACTACGACCAGAATCCTTCAGCGTTTTGCTTTCTTGTGCAAGTTAGGGCTTTTGTTATTCAAACCTCGCTGGGATTACAAAATTTAAACGAAAAGGATTCTGGTCGCAGTAAAATGACGCCATTGTGCAAATGGCCTGTAGGAACGCGAGTGCAAAACGCAAAAAGATTGCCTCAGTGTCAGGAATGAAGAGGACGAATTTTTTCTCTCTTTCCGTCACCCAGCCCCTCGCAGTGCGCTTTGACAAGCGTGTTCGGTTCACGTATATCTTCTTAGTCACTCTCAAACATTTTGTTTGCAAGTCAAGCATTAGTGTTTCACGAACGGCTGATGAAGCGCTGAGAAGTTATGCCTGGTACAAAGGCTAATTCGCAGTTTTATGGATCAAAAATGCGAGAAAAAAAAGGATAAGTATATATTCTCGCAAAAAATGTTGAGCCAGTCGTTTGATTTCATGGCTTTCTAGTAAAAACTTTTCGCAAGTTAAATATGACCAGCGTGTAAGGCCTAGTAAGCAATACGTGAGCATTCCACTAAAGTAATTTTGGCGATTTTTTGTATTATATTGTTGTTGATGTTTGTTTGTTTTTACTGTGCAGCCGAAGTCGTCGCTATACCACCTATTGTGAAATACAGATATGGAAGTGGAAAAAAACAGGAGGTATCGTATGATTAACCACTAGTTCCTTTTTTCAAAATTATCATTTGCTTCAAGCGACGTACACTAGACTTTTTTCTGTGCGAAGTTTAGGGGCGTGTATTTGAGTGACGTCACAGCTACCTGTAGTAGCAAAGCAATGCCTATAGCTATAGCGCGACGCCTATAGCGGCCTCTTCCCTGCCCATCCAATCTCACCCGCCATTGCTAGAAAACCTTATCTTCTTCGGTAAAATTGCGGGTATGATCTCTGATTTTGTCCCTGGTTATGACCCACCTCCCCACCGCCAATCGAAATGAAACGTGTTTTGTTTTTGTTTTTGTCTGTTTTTTTTTCCTTGCCGTAAAATAAGGTGCGTTTCGTTATCAGCTTTGATAACAGGTTTTATCCCCCTTATAACCCAAGCGAATAAAGTATCAGCTCACCCCAACGCCCCCTCCCTCCTCCCCCCTCCCCCCTCCCCCCGCCTCCTACAACAATTTATGAGGCCAGGGACCCGTTTCTCGACCCTGGAACGAGGTTGGAACTTCTAGGTAACTTGACGGGCTCGAAACCAATATTCAGATCAAAACACTAAAGAACAAAAGCGTGGGTCCTAGTTAAGAAACCAGAAACCAGTTTGATGTTTGTCTATTGAAAACGCGATCTATTATAATGTAAACGACAACGGCTTTTCGGGCCTGTTAAAAATCGGATATTGAGAGAATCGGGCCGCAGGCTTCATTCCCAGTATTATGGTGTAGCCTGAGAACCTAACTTCATTTTAGCGTGTTTTATACTACTACATGAGAAATTTCTGCAATTTGATTGGCTTAGAGCAGTGGTATTTCAGCCTAATTTAAAACACCTACATGTGAAAATTACAAACCTTTTGCGGGTAGTAGTATAAACAAATAATAGCATGATTTGTACGTGATATTTGGTATAAATACCACTCGTGATATTTCAAAATTGTCTCAAATTTCACTCGTGAAATTACGTATAACAATTTTTGAAATATCACCAGTGGTATTTATGCCAAATATCACTACTAATCATGCTATTACCTATACTAATTTATTCTACCCTGATTTCTGTGCGTAGTGTGTGGATGGAAAGAAGTCCATACCACCCAATTGCCAGTGGACTGGCATGGTGGTACTGAACGAAACCGTAGGCCCCGAGGAACTTAAACTGACGGTGGCTAAGAAGTACTGTACTGAAGTTGGGCTAGAAAAGCCAGACAACGAAATTATAGACTGTGAAGAATAGTAGTTTGGGCGTTGTATGGAAACATCTCTTGTCAAAGGTTAGTTAGAGTTGCCTTCTCGACAGGCTTTCCCAGGGCTTAGTGGGGAGCAGAAGCGCGAGAGCTGGAGACAAGCTGGAAGGGCGAGAGGGGGAAATGGGAACAAGCGCAGAGTGCGAGCGGGGAGCGGTGGAAAGGAAAAAGAGAGAAAGGTTTTAAAAACACTCCTTTCGCCCCAGCTTTCCTTAATAACTAACTCAAGTATCCCTCAAAATAATGATCGCGATTGACTGAGGACAAAACAGTAGCCTTTGTATTCCCATAATGCACTTTGTCTTAACACAGTTTGTAATTGCAGACACATTTTCCCGCCTTTTTGCACGTTATGCAAGATCCGAAAAAAGACCAATGACTGCGTCTATCTTTCAGGATTTTCAGTTAAGATCTTGAGTGTCTTGTATTTTACATTGGTTTTGCCGGGAGCCAATAACCCAGAGTGAGCAAATACGAAGAATTTGTTTCACTGTGCATTCACAGACCAGTTTATTTTTAGATCGATTTTGGCGCAAATTAGTAGACCATATATTACGTAAGTTTCCAAGACGATTGACCAAAGGTACAGACCAAAAAATGTTGCTTTGAGATGTGTGCACTTGCTCTTTCAAAAAGAAATCTGGAATTTTGGTGAACTTTTATGAATTGGTCACGATTAGGAGTGTAGTGAGTGTCACGTGGGTGTCCGTTTTTACACTCATGGGACACTCGCTAGAATCGGGTGGCTAATTTTGTAGCTTCGTAATAAGATATCGTTCACAGACACTTTTTTTGCTCTTTCCTAGACAAATAGTGTGGCGTGATTCATTTTTTCTAAGCGTATCCTTCATATAGAGCGATTTTCGTATGACCTTGAAAAATGGTTTCGGTAAGTGTTCGGCCGTCTGTTTCATAAGCCAATGGATGAAAAGATCAAAACATGGACTCTTCGTTTTCCCACCAAAGAAAACCCTAATATGGAGAAGGCATTGTTCCATTGGCCAATCGTGTTGCAGTATAAAGTCAAAGCGAAGTATCCATTGATAATGATATTGGCATTCGCTTAACCAACCAAAAGCCACGTGCGTTTGTATCCTTTCGATAAACCAATCAATCAAACTATTTCCGTTCGTTTGTTGTTTCTGTTTTGTTCGCGCGTTTTCACTTCAAGGTCATACGAAAATGGCTCTAATATTGAGCGTTTTCACATGACATCACGTCCGCCATGTTGGTGTCGCAAGCATGAAACGGCGGCCATGTTGTCGTTACAAACCAGTCCTGTGAGAGCTGAACCTCTTTCTTATGTAAGGCTTTGTTCAGACTATACTGGATGGGTTTTCGTGCCGACACCAACAACGTAACTATCCAGTATAGTAAGAACAGCAATAGCACAGAACTGAAACGGAGCGGTTGGCCGAATAGGGTATAGTGAACTAATCCCAATCCTCACTCCTGAATATATATTTACTTCCGTCTCAGCCAATTCCAGTTCTCCCTCCCACTTATTCACTTCCGCTACGGTCCGAATACCTGTTCACATTGCGCCAAAGTGTGGCACGGAACATATTCGAGATCGGCGAAGAGCAGCTTCGCTCCGTTTCGGGCCGAAATCGCCGTTCTTATGTGTCAACCAGTGGTGGATCCAGACCTTCAGATAACGGGGGGGGGGAGGGGAGGGGGAAGAGATCCAGACCCTGAGATAAGGGGGGTAGGCGGTCTCCATAAACAATTTTTTCGGCCCTTCGGGCCTCAGTTTGGTCTAAAACTATGAGGGGGAGGGGCCCTCCCCTGGATCCCCTACTGTAGAACAGAAGCCCTTTCGGATGTGGTTCGTGTTCCAGCGCAAAACCTGTCTAGTATAGTGTGAACATAGCCACAGGCTGCTATCCTACTCGGTTGAGAATTAACAGCGTCATGGTGATATCATTGCAAAGTTAATTTTCTCCCCAGCCTATCATTCTACCATTCCAGCAACATA